AAACACTCCCCCGTATATGTATTTCTTCCCTCCCTTACTTTTGTATTTATGTGGATATTTGTAATGGTTTAGATCAAGAATATCCCCTCAAGCCTCCTGTGTCCAGAGGTGGGGCTTTGGGAGGCGATTGGACTATGGGGCTGCTGTACTCATCAGTGGTTTATTCCACACTCAACTTCAAAGCTGAGTGTGCTTTAGGAGACGGGGTCTGGCTGGAAAGGGGGGTGTCCCTGTGGCATGACCTGGAAGGTACATACCCTCCCTGAATCCTCCCTTCCCTGTCTCTTCCTGGCTGCCATGATGAGCAGCCCTCCTGCCATTCCCATCCAACATGCTGTCTCTGCCTTCAAGCCAGCAGACTATGGACAGAAGCATCAAAAAACCAAGAGCCAAAATAAACCTCTCTTTTTGTAAGTTGTGGTATTTTGTCCCATCTAATCGTGATTGTTTATTATTAGTGTATGTATAAGGGCCAAGGATGTAGCTCATTGGCACAGTGTCTGCTGGGCAAGTGTGAGGTCCTGTGTTGGATCCCCAGTATAAAAAAAAAAAAATAGTGTATTTGTAGAGGATACCCCACCACTTTTTGTGGTACTGGATATTGAACTCAGGACCTTGTGCTTGTGAGGCAGGTGCGGTGCCACTGAGCTAAATTCCTGGTCCTGGGATCCCTTATTAACAGAGGAATAATAGTAGTATGTCTATCCTCTATTGATGGACATTGATCTTTCTTTTGGTATTACAAACAGTGAGGCTGTCAGTAAGTTTCCTAACCTTAGCAGCTGGGGCAAGACTTTTTTTTGTGGTACTAGGGATTGAATCTTGGGCCTTTTTACTGAACATCTCCAGCCATTTTATTATTTTTAAATTTGAGAGAGCATCTCACTAAGTGACTGTGTTGCCCGACTAGGCTCAAACTTGTGATCCTCCTGCCTCACCTAGAGTGCTTCGATTATGGGTACACGCCACCACACCCAGCCAAATGAGTCTTTGTTGTGGAGCTGTCCTGTGCTGTATGGGATTTTTAACATTATCCTAGCCCTTTGGGTACTGTACACTAATAGCATTCCCATTCCTAGTTGTGACAGCAAAAAGGCAGAAATTGCCCCAGGTTGAAAGCACTGCTTGAATATATCCTTAGGATAAATTTCTCTAAATGGTATTGCTGGATCTCAGGTCATATGTATTTAAATTTCTTTTATGGCTTTGCTAAATTATTCTCCATGGAGGTTGTACCATATTACCCAGCAACCTGTGGTATCTGAGGTCATTTTATTCTCACCAATACAGTGGTTTATCCATTTTTTTTTGCCACGTAGTTATTCATTAGTGTACAATATAATGACATTCGTCCTTGGGGATTTGTACTTTTATATGGTATATCTTGGTTTGCCAGGCAGTTTTAATTCATATTTCTGTTTTAAAGCTAGTTTTTTATTCATCACTTACTATTTCTATGTGTGTTCTAATTTTTGGTGTGTGGATTTTGTATTTTGTGACCTACTATGAAATGCTTTTCTCTCTAAGCCATCTTAAAGTTTAGGGCCCAGAACTAAAGACAGTCCTCTGGGTTTCTTCTTACCCTAATGAAATGATAGGATGTGCCACCTGATATGTGACAGGCATTGTACTTGGTGTGCTTTAAAAATGCATGTTTCTCTGTGTGGCCTAAGCATGTCTTTTTGATAAAATGGTCCTTTTAGAAAGCTTTTTGAGTTGGCATGCATATATTCTAACACTCATGGTCTCCTGAGTTAGAATATATCATAGAGAAACAATAGCTAACAACTTTTTGGTTCTGCAATTGGGAGTAGTAATAGTCTTTGCCATGTACCTTATGACTGGATCAGAACTAAGATAGAGGTCATTTTAAGTTAAATTGCTCTTACTTTCTCTTTCAGGATTCCTTTTCTTGTTAATATTCAGAAGTCCTTGAAATGATTTTTTTTTTTTTTTTTGGTATCAGGAATTCAACTCAGGACGTGCTGCCATTGAGCTATATCCCTGGCCCCTTGAAATGATTTTGTGTATGCATGTTTACTTGATTCTTCTCTGTAGGCATGTTTGTAGCACTAAGTATCTCACCCTTAGCAGTAAGTAGGCTCTGAAACTTTCCTAGGATGAAGCCATCTTCCTTCCTGGCAGGCTCAGATCTAGTTGATTTTTCTGGTTTTCTCTGGAGCTTTGGGCCAAATGAATCAGTGGGTTTGGCTGGAACCCAGCTGTGGGGGTTCCCCACAAACAAGTAAATCTCCCTTTGAATTAATGGCCACCCTACCCCACACTGTTAAGAGGTCCTGGTTACAATTACTTGAAGCACAGTGAAATCCTCCCCTAAGTGAGCAGTTATCCAGAAATTGTGATTTGACCGTGTTTGATGTAAGCAGTTTTTTGGTATTTTCAGAGATCAAAGTCTTCATTGAGAAGTCTATAAGACACCAGATACCTCTGACTTTGGTGATTTTCCTACTGATCACCAAAAATATTTGGACACTTATTTGATTATGCAGTGTGCATACTGTTTCCTTTACTTCTCAGAATTTAGGCGAGGATTAGTGTTGGCTCAATAACTTGTTCGGTTAGTTAGATGTTCCCTGTTTGTGAGAATTCAGGGAGTGGGGCAGGACCAGGGGAGAAGTCCCTATTTCTGAGGGAGGAAAGAGCAACTAGGTCATGTGTCGGATAGTAAATATTTTAGGTTTTGCAGGACATGGTCTCTTTTACATATTCCTGTTTTTTACATCTCTTTAAAGATAGAAAAACTAGGGTTGGAGTGCAGCTCAGTGGTAGAGCTCTTGCTGGCATGGCTGAAGCCCTCGGTTCAGTCCCCTGTACCACAAAAAAGCAAGCCCTAAGGATGAAAACAGGCCATTGTGAGGGTTGGCCCACACACAGGCTGTGGTTTGCCAACCCTTGAACTCGGTGAAGAAATTAGCCTGTTGCTACATGTGTTTTCTTTAATGGTTTGGGGACACGAACCCAGAATAACCCTGCAAATTCTCAGTTGATTGTGATCCAGAAGAGGGTGGTTAGAACTTTGGTTTATGGGGTCAGTCACCTTGGATTTATGAAATTCGAGGTGACCTTGGCCAGTAGGACAGGGTTCTTGCTGTATCTCTCCCATGGGAGTGCTGGCTAAGGGGAGCAGGGGCCAGGAATGGGTGAATGGAGTGAAGGCATAGCCCTAGGAGATAGCAGGGACCTGACAGGCATAGAGAATACAGAGTCACAGATTCCTCTGTTTGATTTGGGATGTAGTTAGAATCTGGCATGTACGATGTGAGTTTGCCCAGTTTATAAAAGTGAAAGAGCACATCTGTACCTTGAATTCTGAGAACTGCATTCCAATATGATGCCTGAATTCAGATCTGCCTTGTGGTTTTTCTCTCATCATAAGGAGCTCTGCAGAGCAGGCCTGGCATGAGGAAGTGTTGATTTATTTCAAGGTACTTTGGGAGACAGGAAAGTGTAGTGGTTAATAAGCATGGGCTCAGACAGGCGCTTGTCCTGAGTCCTGCTCCGTCACTTAATCCCTGTGTGACCCTGCGAAATTTGCTTCAGCATCAGCATGCTTACCTATAAATGGCAGTGATAATAGTAACTCCACCGGAGTTGTGTTCCTAGCTTAGTGTCTGTTGTATGTTACACATTCAGCAGATACTAGCAGATAATATGATAGTGGAAGAAGATGGAAAAGGTGGGGAGGAACTAGTATTTGTGATTCAGTGCCGCAGAAATAATCATGTCCTGGTTGAGCATTTGACCATTAGCTGGGTGTGAGCATGTTGGGGGCAATGCAGAATTCTGTCTGTTGTATAGGTCTCTGTGTCTGCCCCTCTTCATTTCTGGATTTGGAAAGTGAAGACACTATAGGTTGGCAGGTTGGAATCAACCAAATGAGGTAACATGTTTGAGTTTATAAAGCATCAAAGAATTTAAGGTAAAGTCAGTATCTGTTCACTGGAAAGAGCCAGGTCAATCATGCAAGCCAGAATGTTTTGCTGGGATTGGGTGGTCAAGTATTTGCCTAGCGTATGCAAGGCCCTGATTTTGATCCCCAGGACTGTAGGGGAAAAGCTAGAGACTAGACAAGTTGCACCCAGATTCAAGACTTGTGTTAGTAAGTTGTGGTTTGGAATGAATACTACAAAACTGGAATGCCAGTTCCATGGGTATGCCTTCTTGAGTAGCTAATATGGAAAGATAGTCTAAAGAGGTCTTATCTCTGTGGAGGAAATGTGATCGTATCTTGCAAAATTAAATACGTTTATTTCCTGAAATTCCATTTCTAAGAATTTATCCTGGAAATGTATTTGACATGTGCATTTCTATTCTGAATTATATACACACATATTATTCCCTACATTATTTATAATGACAAAAAAGTGAAACTGGCAGTGTCTAGCCTTAAGAGACTGGTTACCTAAGTCCTTGTGCATTCGTATGGCTAAACACTGTGCACCTTCAGAGTTCAGGAGCTGTGAGTATGCTGATGGAACTCTCTTCCAAGATTGATTAAGCTGAAGCAACAAAATGAAATATGAGGTGAAGAACAACATGCATTGTATGCCATCCTTGTTGCCAGGCTGTGGGGCGGGGAAGGGACATGTGATTTCCTTGTCTGAGCAGAGATTATTTGGGGAAGGATATGAAGCTGGTAATATGGTTGCATTTGTGGAGAAAAATTCTGAATAACTTGGATGGGTAGGAGGGAGATTTGTGTCTTATAGATTGACCTTTCTTTCCTTTGAAACATGTCTTGCACACATTCTGTTTGTTCAGAAAGTCTGAGTGACCACAGTTTCTGTCATTGGAGTTGAAAACTGTTTAAAACTGTGTGTTTTCTCCCACATCTGTGTCTGGTCCCTTTAACCTTGACAGCTTGAGAAGCAGGCCTGACCATAAGCTCACCCTGAAACTGCGCTCCCCTCCCACACACAAAGCATGTTGACATTTCTCTTGATTCATATGACTGACGGTGTTTCTCTTTCCACCCCCAGCTCTGGCAGCATGAAAACAACTTTTTGCCAAGAACCCAGGTCACCACTGAGAAGGGGGCCTTAAGGGAAAAGAATATCAGGAGGATATCAATGCCAAGCACATCTGGAATTACGCTCACAGCCAGCAGCATGCAGCACTGCGGGCCAGCCTCTGTGTCCCACTGGTGCAGGCTGGGGCTCTCCAGGTAGGAGGCTCCTAGGGCAGCAGCAGCAGGAGCCTCTCAGGGAAGAATGGGGCCAGATACGAACTCTACAGTGAGCATAGAAAACTTCAGGTTATGAAGGAATTTTAAGAGAACAACTATTTAATTTTCACATAATCACATTCAGAAGCCTTCTTGTGATTGCCAGCAGTCACCCCCTCTACAGGAGTTACCACGATTTTTCTGGCACCAAGGTGAACTCTTCTTGGTATTTCTGGCGATACAGATCTGCTGGGCAGACTCATCTGCTGAACGCTTGGAGGCAGGGAAAGAGTAAAACCTCTGGAAGCAGTGTCAAGAAAGCAGAACAGAGAACCTCTCCTATGCCTCCCACTTGCACAGAAACTTGGCTTGGATGTGGATGTTGTTAATTGAAGACTTCTATTGTGTTCACTGCAAAGTCCATCTGTCTTGGGGAGACCTGGCGTTTTGGGGCTGCCTCTCGGCCCTTTTCTACTGTCATTCCACCCCCATGCGTGCTATGCAGGCAGTTGAATGATGTGAACTTGAGGATGGAGTTTGGTGCCCTTGGGGAACTGACTTCCTTTTCTAGGCTTGTGCTGTCGGAAAGGACCACCTGAAGGCTGTGTTTGTGCGTGGGAAGGAGGGCATTGCCTGGCTGGAATCCTCCACCATGTTCCTGTTGCTGCCTTTTGATAGCCTGATTGTCAACCTTCTGGGCATCTCCCTGACCGTCCTCTTCACTCTCCTGCTTGTTTTCATTATAGTCCCTGCCATTTTTGGAGTCTCCTTTGGTATTCGAAAGCTCTACATGAAAACATTGTTAAAAATCTTTGCGGTGAGTTGTGCTGCTACTGGTAGGTTGCTTCACAGACTAATATTCTTAGCAGAGAGCTGTTCCTACCTGGCTGGTGGTTATCTCTCTGTGGTTGTGGAATAGCTGACTCTGTCCTTTTGAAAGCCTATAGCAGTCTTTCTCATTGAACTAAAGCTGCTTGTATAATTCATGCTGAGCAAAGGGACCTATTCTATGACTCCCCAGCTCACCTGCTTATTTCACAGAGAGAATGGGCTTAGGGTTAAAGACTGCCCCATATGTAACAGGTAGAGTAGCACACTGCTGCCACTGATACATTCTTACTCATGAGCCTTTTCTTTGCTGTGGTGTTTTTCTAAAGTAGATTGTTACATTTCAGACAAAAAGAATAAAGAGAAAGGGAGAAAGGGATATTTGAGTCATTTTCTTTTCTTTTTGGTACCGGGGATTGAATTTGGGTCCTTGTACTTGCAAGGCAGGTGGCAGCAGCACTGAGCTAAATCCCCAGTCCCATTTGAGTCATTTCCTGAAAGACAGAGGAAAATAAATTTCTGAACATATTTTAGAACATGCCTAATTGTACCATTGAACAGAACCAATTGCATTATAAAAGAAACAGAATTGCTGCTTTCTAGAAGTTGATCTGTGTGCTACAGGACTTAATATCTAGCCAGAGATTTGCTCATTTGGTTGAAATATGTCTTTTCAATAGTCACCAGCTCTTCAGGAATTCTTTTCCACTTTTGAAACCAGGTGAGAAATGTACCTGTAAAGGTGAAATAATGTATCACCCCTTCTTCCTATGGCATCTCAGTTTTGTTTCGGTTTCTTGGCAGTGCTGGGGATCTGATAGTATAGCCTTCTCTCTGCCTGTCTTAGAGTTTTTAGAGTAATTGTTTTCACCTTCCTTTGGTTTCTTAGAATTTTGTTGGTAGACAGGATAAATATCTACTACATTTTATCAGTGAAGAAAAAGACTTGGATTAAGTGAAGTATAAGAATGTTACATTACCATGGGAAATGTTTACATCTGTCGCATAGGATTGTGGGCTGTATCTTTTTTGCCACTTAACATGTTGGTAAGAATATTTTTCCATATTTGAAAAAATTGAAGTGAAATCGGCAGAACATAAATAACAGTTTTAAAGTAAACGCTTCTGTGCTGTTCACTGTTTTCAGTGTTATGCAACCACCGCTTGCCCCATCGATTGTTGTCTCTTCCCAAGGACCCTTACATTCCATCTGATTTATATAGAATTATATAAAGGTGCCCTTTGCTTTTGGTTTTCAGTTGGGTGGTACTGGGGATTGAACCCAAGGCTTTTGCACTCAGGTATGTACTAAGTAAGCCCTTTGTAAATGTTGAGACAAGGTCTTGCTAAGTAACCAAGGTGCCTAGGCTGGGCTCAAACTTAACAGTCCTCTTTCCTTAACTTCTTAGAAAACTGGAATTACTAATACGTGCCACCACGCTTGCCTTGACATTATTAAGGTTTGTCTGTATCAGGATTTTGTGTGTGTGTTTTGAATAATAAGTCTGTGGCATCTGTCCATGATTTGCTTACCTGTTCATCTGTTGATGGACATTGGTGGGCTGATTCCACTTTCTGGCTGGTTGTGAATAGTCCTACTAGGGACCTGTGTGTAAACATATTTGTTTTACTACCTGTTCTTGAGAGTGTAATTTTTGAGCACTACTTAAGACGGCCTTGGATTTATCAGGACAAAATTAGTGGAAAAACTGTCAGATTTTTAGGAGGCAGCAAGAATGATGTCTAGCTTTCAAGTTTATACAAGGAATTAATTCATGAACCTATAGGAATTATCTTTTTTTTTTTTTTTAGACAGGGTCTCCCTGTGTAGTTCAGGGTGGCCTTGAATTCACTGTGCCCTCAAACTCTACACTCCACCTGCCTCAGCCTACCAAGTGCTGGCATTACAGATATGTGCTACCACTCCCAGTGGAAATTGTCATTTTTAAAACATAGTAAATAAGGATTATGAGCCTAGGATTCTCTCCTATAGTATTGAACATTTAACCTGGATGACATTGGGTAAGACAGAGGTCTAGAATCCATTTTTATATTCTTACACCATTTTGAAAACATTTCTCCAGAATGAATATTTTAAAGCTAATAACCAAATAATTTCTTGTGACCATTTTTTTCAGTGTATGTATGATGGCTTTCACTGTAGTGATACAATGGAAAATTCATTAAATGTTTACTTTTGGGCCAGCCTGTGGGGCATGTAATCTTAAGTCATCAGAGAGTACTTGCAGAGCGTGAAAATCACTGTTTTGAGTCACAGTGATTTAGAAGTGGTAGCGGAAGTTGCAAGTGTAATTTCAAGATTAAAACTTTCAATAAATAGGGGCTAGGGATGTGGCCCTGATAGAGCATGTGCCTCACGTGCACTAGGCCCCTGGCTTCAATCCTTAACAATGCAAAAAAAATTTTTTTCAAAATATAGATTTATACCTTTTATTTCCTAGAGTTACGTGCCAGGTACTTAAAAGCTTTGCAGCCTGTATGTGGATTATGCAATACTGAGCTCTACAAACAGCTTTGAGGTAGCTGTGTGCTGCAATAAGGGGCGGGCTGTTGAAAGGACTAATCCATGCCAGCAAGGGCATAGGTTGCTTCTGAAAGAGGGTCAGATCTAGTGCCACCTTCTGTTTCTGCTCTGAGTTGATCTTAATGGACCTAAAGAACTGAATGCTGCATTTATCAGTGGTAATACTAGCTGGTACCAGGCCTAAGAAAAGTTGTCTACCCTCACATCAGTGAAGATATCTAAAAATTACCTATACTTGTGGGTGTTTGTGTTAACTTTTTTAAATTGAGGAATGTCTTAGTTGTTTTGGACTACTGCAACAACCATAGACTGAGTGATCTCCAAAAATAAATTTATTTATTTCTCAAAGTTCTGGAGGTTGCCGTCCATTGTCGAGGTGCTGGCAGATGAGATTCTGTGTCTGGTGAGACTGTTCCTTGTTCACAGACACGAGCCTCTGTGTGTCCTCACGTGGTACAAGGAGTGAGGGCTCCCTTTTGTAAGAGCCCTCGACCCATTCGTGAGGGTTCTGCCTCTGTACGCTTGTCACTTCCCGAAGACCTCATTCCTAGTATCATCACACTGGGGATTCAATGTAACAGTTTTGGGAGAAAAAAACTTTAGTCCATAGGAAGGCAAGACCTTTATTTTACCTTTTTTTAACTCCTTCCACTTTTTCCTAAATTGGAATGATATAAATAATTTTGTGCCTGGAATAAAGCTCAGAGATTATCTTAATAATATACTTGGGGAAGCATTTGGAAATATTGTACTTACTTTGGGGCTCTAGCATCTGGATTTAATTGGTCCAGGTGGACATTTTTTTAAATTCCCCAGATGATTCTGGTACCAGTGATGTCTGATGACCCTTATACCCCCCCACCTTCTGTGTAGACCTACTTAGTGGTTTGTTTCTCATGAATAGGATGTGGGCACTAGGCTGTGTGATACAAGGTTAGGTTGGAAGAGGCAGTATAACTTCTGTTTGGCTCTTTTGACTGCTTGTTCCTGAGCCCAGCCACCATGCTCCGAGGAAGCAAGGGCCATGTGTAGGTGTCACAGCTCACAACCCCAGGAAGGCTCACACAGCCAGCATCAGATGCCCACACTGGGGTGAGCAGGTCTCCCAGGATCTCAGCCCCTGGTCTTTCATCCACCCAGCTGTGTGCAACTTGCAGGTTGAGCAAAGTAAGTGGTTGTGGTGTTTAAGTGACGAGTATAGATGTAGTTTGTTATATCGCAATAGATAACCAAAATATATATTAGAGAATTTTAAACATTCATTATTGTCTTATAGTGCAAAGCACCTTTGATTTAATTTTATTATTCGTTTTTTGCAGTGCTAGGGATTAGATCCAGGGTGTTGCACTTGTTAGGTACTCTGCAACTGAACTACATGCCCAGCCCCTTTTAAAAATTTTAAGACAGGGTCTTACTGAGTTTCCCAGGCTGGCTTTGAATTTGTTATCCTGCCTCAGCCTCCTGAGTAGCTGGAATTACAATTGTGTACAACAATGGCCAGTTTAAAAAAACAAAACAAAACAAAACAAACAACAGGTTCCTATTTTATGGTTAAATGTGTACATTTAATTTTATTTTGGCATTTAATGTAGCAGTCTACATTTTACTTGATAATCTTCATAAAAATAATTAAAACTAGATATCTAAATCCATGCCATGCCTGTCTGTATCTTTGTTTGGCAGATCTGTGCAGCCCTGGTTTATCAGCTGGTCTCCCACACTTTCTTCTTTGTAAAGTTGCCAGGAGAAAATGTTTGTGTACCTGCCACAGGGTAAGGTGGAGAGGATGTGGTCAGATCAGTGCCTGTCTGTCCCTGTCCCAGAGCACTGAGCCCAGTGCAAGTCCTGGAAGTGCTGAGTCACTGAAACTATTGTGTGTGGACAACAGCATCTTGTTTAAAGTGCTTTTCATCCCTTTCCTCAATATTTTTGCTTGAATTTTCTCAGTATTTTGCTGAGTAGAGTATCCTCTACTCAGTACAGTACTTACTTTTTAGAGTGGAATTCCTAAGAGTGGACTTTCATCTTTTTTTTTTTTTTTTGGTACCAGGGATTGAACTCTGGTCCTTGCGCTTGCAAGGCAGGCCACCGAACCACTGAGCTAAATCCCCGGCCCCCTAAGAGTGAACTTTCAGCTGGGTGGGGATAACTTGGAAGAATGGAGAAAAGAAAGTTTAGATATACAGGAGAAAGATGAAAATAAAAGACTTGCGTTTTCCTGCAGTGAAAGGAATCGACCAGGTTGGATTAGAGAAGATAAGATCCTTACAGTCCCACAGTGCAGCTCCAAGGCAGATGTTGGAAGAGAGTCCCAGAAACCAGTGATGGTTGTGAGGGACTTGAAGTAGGACTCCAGTGGTAGTGGGATTGTAGTGCATGGGCCTGTAGTTTCAGGCAGCTCTTACTTCCAGTGCTTTTCCTGTGAGATCTTTGAAATTTGACTTTGCTTATTGAATTTTCCCGTGTGTTTTTTCATCTGGAGAGTAGGAGTGATAATTCTACCTCACATGGTTGGAGGAAAGAGGAGGTGTTAATCACATCCTTGAGTAGATTAAGGATAGACTGGGGGAGAGGAGGGTGCTTTGTGGCAAGGAAAGTGACAGTTTTAGGTTCATCATTTCAAGTCTGCTTTCTTGTTTCGAGACTTTGATGAAGAGAAGTGTTGGAGTTGATGGATTACATGTAGCCCTCATCTGACTGCCTACTGTCTGCAAGGTACTGCAGTGTGCTGGAAGGGGCATATGTAGACTGACGGGTGGGTTCTGGCCCCCTCCTGAGGCATTTGTAGTCCTGTAGGAGAAACATTTGTGCACCTGGCATTAGTGCAGCAGCTGATGACAGGATGGTTATTAGATTTGCATTTGCACCAGATATTGCAAAGGAAGAGGATAGCACATTGTAGAACTCAGTGAAAAAGTACAGTGTTGTTTAGAGACAGCACATAGTATGCAAGAGTAAAAACTTTGAGTTTGTGTTATAATATTGAACATTTCTTTAGGCACCAGAAGTTTTGGCTAGGCAAATGCCTGATCAGACTTTGACAGCACTATTAGATAGAGGCAGAGGAGAAGGGAAGGAAGGCAGTTAATTAGCTGTTGTCTCAGCCTAGGCCACCGCATATCAGAGTGAAGGAAGTAGGTGTGAGGCAGGAGGTGTTTGCATAGGCCATCTGAGAGGATGGCTAGGGCTCAGTGGCATGGGGGTCATAAGGGTGGGCATGCTAGTGCCAAGCCTGTGGAGGAGCCTGTACAGGTCGGGCAGGCTATGCTGCTGCCTCCTAGCGTGCTGGGTGCCAGGGCTGCTTGCCTGTGGAGCTGGGAATGGGGAGTTGGCACGCGGGTGAACCAGGAGATAGTACTGCCTGGATAGTACATGTGAAGTAGGGAGAGACGGAAGCTGTTGAAGGGTAGAGTCTGCTTGGGAAATGGAGCTAATGAGTGATCAAGCCTTTGTTTGTTTGTTTGTTTGTTTGTTCGGAGACAAGGTCTCACTAGTTCACAGTGGCTGTGAACTCACTAGGCAGCCCAGGCGGGCCTCAAACTCATGATGATCTTCCTCCTGAATGCCGGGATTGCAGGAGTGCACCACTGTGCCCAGTTTAAGCCTGACTCTTTAAAGGTCTGGTTCTTTGGTTGAATCTAGTCCATGGGAAAATGCAGTGGAAGCTGAGAAGGAAGGGAGGTTTCTGCTGAGATCATTTTTGCTGAGACTGTTAGTCCTTACTTTTGTGATTTTTGTAGTTCCTAAATTGTGGTCTTCAGCAGAATGAATAACTAGCAGAGGGCTCATGGAAGAAGCATCTGCATTTCGCCTGTTCAGTTTAATGTTACCTGCAATAAGAGCGTGGTGTTGTTATTGCCTTTGAATTGTTTTCTTCTCTGGGAGAAGCTAAAAAAGGAATAATCAAGTAATTCACGATTGAATAGCCTTGCAAATGGCAACTCACATCAGGGGAAAAGAGGATTTTTATGGTAAAGCGAACTCTGAACTTAGGATTCTGAATTTTATTCCAAATATCTGAAAACTATTTCTTAAAGTGACAGCTCAGAGAAGCCAATTGTGTAAGTCACCAGGCATTGCTGTTACGGGCTGATCTGTGGTATAATGTAAAATGTATTTGGTCTTTGTGCGCAGTTCCCACACAGAGCTCCTTTCCCAAGAGTCAGTGATGTCTTCTTCACTGTGAGCCCCTTTGAGCATGCCTGAGTTTATGCTAATGAGATGACAAGGCTGGTCCCAGATAGTCTCAGGATGGGCCTTGTTACCAGAAAGGCCAAGTGATTGGAAGGCTGGACTTTCCAGCCCATCTGCCGACCTCTGGGAAAGTGATAGCTGGAGTTTAAATTCCATGGCACCCTGTAAAAACTCGAGTAAGGTTTGATAAACTAGGTGTTGGGAGAGTGGCGTGCCCACGAAGAGCCTAGAATCTGTGCTTCCCCATCCAGGAATCTGCCTTTTCTGTAGCTCTTATATCGGGCTTGTCCTGAGTTGTATCATTTATACTAAATCATAAATGTAAGTAAAATGTTTGTTTCCCCGACCTCTGCAAGCCATTGTAGCAAGTAGTCATGTCCAAGGAGGTGGTTGTGGGAAGAGTCAGTCATGATCAGGGACTTGTGATTGGTGGCTGAAGTGAAATTGTGTTGTAGGACTGAGCCCTTAACCTGTGGGTTCTGGGGCTGTGTCAAAGCAGATAGTGTCAGAACTGAATCAAAGGAGGACACCCATCTGGTATCCAACGAAGGTTTACTTGGTGTGTGTGGATTTCCCTCCATATCCGTTGTCCTAATGTGGTTTGTGAGCAGTGTGGAGAAAATGAAGTGTCTTCCAGGCCCTCTCCTTTGCCTTCTTCAGGGTAGGAGTGATCCAGTGCGCCACAGCCTTTCTTCAGCAGGTTAAGCCCAAGCTTGACCAGCTGCCCCAGACCTTACCCTTGTGACTTTGGATAATTTTTTAAAATTCAGAATCATTTTGTAGTATCCTGACATTTGAAAAGCAGAAGGCCAAAGGGGATGAGGTACAATAAGCAGGAAGCCAAGGGATGTCTGCTACTGCTGTTCTCCAGAGCCCTGAAAAGCTCAGGAGACCCTGTTCGGTTATCAGCAGCTCACAGCTGCCCTTGGGTTTACATAGTGACGCATTCCTTCGGCTTCTTACACTCATCCTCAAGAGGCTTGATTTCACCCAGGCGTGATGAAACTTGCCTGTAATTCCAGGACTTGGGAGGCCAAAACAGAAGGATCACTCAGAGTTTGAGGCCAGCCTTTGTGAGTTCAAGGCCAGCCTTAAATAGAGACCATTTCTCAAAAAAAGAAGAAAGGCCTGATAGCATATGTCACTTGTCTGTTGCCATCTGAGGTATCTGCATTCTCGGTATGGAAACAAATACTGCATTTCTGTTCAGAATTATTCTTGTAATACCAGTGCAGGATCTTGGCCAGAATGTGAACCCCAAATGTTAGGTGAGTGACCTGTGTTCTCTGAATGCCCCAGACTTGTAAACTGTTGCCCTTTTCACCTTGGTACTAGTTCCAGAAAATCAGGTGGAATTTTATTAACTTTTTTTTTCCTCTATAAAAAGAGCATTCATACGGTGACGCAAAAGATACCAACACCTGGACCTCTGAACTTTGGAAAATAGATGAGTTTTCTTCTCTTTGACCCTTCTTTGAGTGAAGGACTCTGAGCCACCCTTTTTTTCTAGACAGTGGCATTTGAAGAAGTTTCCAGATGAGGTCATTTCTTGAGTAAACTTGGTGCTGGTTTTGGCTTTGCTGGACTTCACAGAGCTGTCTTACTTCAGATTGTGCAGCAGGATCTACCCCAGTGCCTTGGGCCATGTGCATTTTGTTGTCATGGCTTGATTGGATTCTTTCCCACCTTGCAAATTGAACACAGAAGTTTGAAAGATAATTTTTCCAGATCTCTCTGCTATTTTCTTTATTTGCTGTGATTTTTTTTTCTTTTCTTTCTTGGTGGTGTGGGAATGGAACCCAGGGCTGTGTGCATGCTAGGCAAGCACCTTAGCACTGAGCTGCACCTCTGTCCCTGCCTTGGCCCAGTGACATAACTGTGTTCATTGCTAACATTCCAGTGGGGAGCTTGTTTTACCCCTCATCATGTGATCATAGAAGGCCCCAGCTTCTGGCTCCTGTTTACTCCAGTTTGAGGGTTTCACTGAAGGTAGAGAGTTCCAGGGAAAGCCTCTTTGTTTCCTCCCACTCTTCTAGAGTCCATGGACTTTAGTTATGATGCTCTGTCACATACACAGTATCCTTCAACCCTATAAAATGGGAGGCTGAGCTACTGTCTTATCCTGTTTTTCAGATAAAGAGACCAGAATTCCAAGGGTAAGTTGCCTAAGGAACACAGCTAGTGAATGCTAAACTTGGGAATTGAACATGGATTTTTCAAAATCTTCAAATAGGGTATTTTCCCCCTTAGGCTTTGAAGCCAGTCCCAGGCCTTTCTATGTTAAAGCTGTGGGTTATTCCTGTTACTATCTAGACATGCATTAAGCCTTTTCCTCTTGAAAACTAAACAACTGCTTTCTTGGAATAATTTGGCGGTGGGCAGAGGAAGCATCAGAGAGGCAAGCAGAGGTTTGAAGGATGTGTGGTGTGACGTTGCCCTTTCACAGAGCAGACAGAGATTGGGGCAGTGAGCAGAAAGGCTGCAGCATCTAACTGTTTAGGCTGTGTGAGTTTCTAGCATGGTCCCTGCTAATCTTTATGGCTGCTTTGAGGTATACACATCCTTTTGGCAAGGTGGCTTGATAGCTTGAGGCTCCCAGATGGAAATGGAGGTGCTCACTGCCTGAAAAGGATCTCATGCCGGGGATTTAGCTCAGTGGCTTGGTGGCCTGCCTCGCAAGCGCAAGGACCTGAGTTTGATCTCCAATACCAAACAAAAAAAAAAAGAAAGGATCTCATTCTTGCTCCTGTGTTTTGGCATTTCCCCCTCAGTGGGCTACCTTGAGAATGGAAAGAGGAGCCAAGGAGAAGAACCACCAGCTTTACAAGCCTTACACCAACGGTAAGACTGGGTCTTGATCTTAGACTAGAAGGGTCCTTTGAAATATGTTCATTCCTTAGTGCTTTGATTTGCATGCTGTCTTGGTCTATTTTCTTTTGCAAAGGTGCATGCCTTAGAGAAGAAAATTTTACTAGGCTCAAAGTTCTAGTGAATGGAAAATCCATACATCGTGGCATTAACAAGGGGCCCTGGCCACATCACACTGTGGCAGATGGCATCACATTGCAGGAGCAAGCATGTGAGGAGACAAAGGGGAAGGTGGGATGGGTCCTATGGTAAGAGATGGGGGGCAGGCTTGCTCTTTTATAACACCACCTGATCTCAGGAGAGCCTGTCCGCTCCTGCGGACCTGTCCTACTTGAATGGCCAGTGTTTTCCCTTCACCAGGGCAGTGTCCCTCCAGCAGTGTCCCTCCAGTAGGCTGCACCTCTCAGACAGCCACTGCATCTCCATACGTCACACTGGGTACCAGGCTTCTAGCTCATAAACCTCTGGGGGAGACACTCAAACCATACCCAAGCCACAGTGTGCACATAAGCTCTGCTGCCCACACCAGGGCGTGTACCCTGTTTCTACCTTGTCTCTCCCAGCGTGCTGTTTGACAGGGGCGTTCTCTTTTGCAGGGATCATCGCAAAAGATCCCACTTCACTAGAGGAAGAGATCAAAGAAATTCGTCGAAGTGGTAGCAGTAAGGCTCTGGATAACACTCCAGAATTTGAGCTCTCTGACATTTTCTACTTCTGCCGGAAAGGAATGGAGACCATTATGGATGATGAGGTGACAAAAAGATTCTCAGCAGAAGAACTGGAATCCTGGAACCTGCTGAGCAGAACCAATTACAACTTCCAGTACATCAGTCTTCGGCTAACTGTCTTGTGGGGGTTAGGAGTGCTGATTCGGTACTGTTTCCTTCTCCCACTCAGGTGAGGACTGGGCCTGGATGGGACAAAAGACAGAGTAGGAGTTCTACCCAAGCCTGATGTATGACCTGCCTCTTGTCCTTCCCCTTCCCCTTCCCCCTCCTCTTCCTCTCCCTCTGCTGTGTTTTCCCATTTTAGAAAGGTAGTGTTTCTTTACTGGCCAGTCCATCTGACTCTTGGAAGGGCACACTGGTGATTATCCTTTCTTTAAAGGCCCTTGGGATTCTCTGTATATCAGATAGAATTAGTTGGATTTCTTGGACACTATTGCTTATATAGATGAGCTAAACACAAGGACAGGGAACTCCTGTCACGAACCTTCTTCCTTAAGCTTACCTTTCAGGTACAGAGGCAATATTGAGCTCTCTGAGTTTTCTGGGCCATGTGCTTTACTCAGTATGTCTTGCCAGATGCAGGTACCTTCAGGCTGTGCCTCCTGTTGCTTCCCAGAGTTGTTTCACTTCGGTCAATGTGTGATGCCAAAGGGAAGGGTGTACAGCAGGGTGGGGGTACCTGTGGACAGCACAGCCAGCTCCACAGCCAGCATTAAGGCTTTCTGCTGCTCTGTCTGTGTAATGCCAGATGACATGGTGACAGTTGGGAGCTTGAGCTCACTGTCTGTGAGGAATCCCAGTGACCTCTGGTTCTGATAGGTCTGCTCCCACCGCTCCCATTCTGGATTGGAGTGCTTTGTCTAGCTCTCAGGAGATTGCACCGTGGGAGGTTGTGTTCGCGACCCTGCTTCCTTTTTTGTACTCACTTTGTTTACCTGGATTGCTTTGTCTTCTTACAGGATAGCTCTGGCATTCACAGGGATTAGCCTTCTGGTGGTAGGCACTACCTTGGTGGGATACTTGCCGAACGGGAGGTGAGTAGAGGGCTGGTGTCCGTGTGGCACACAGTTAGCTCTGGAAGGGTAGCTCGTGTTGAAGGCTAGGCTGCCCCTTTGAATACCGGCCCAAGCCACAGCGTTTCAGGTGACTCCTGGGTAATAGTGGCATCAGAAGCCAGACCTTTTTATTTTGTGGCTAATATTGCTCTGTGATTATTCTTTCTGTTTTCTAGCCCTCACATTTCCATTTTTAAAGACCAAAAGTTAGAAACCACAAAAATGTAGAGTCCAGGGCCCAAATGTTAACAAATTTTATTTTATTTTTATGATTTTGTTTGTTTTTTGAGACAGGGGTCTTGCTATGCATTGTAGGCTGGCCCAGAACTCAGAGCAGTCCTCCTCCTCAGCCACCCAAGTAGTACTGGGATTACAGGCATGCGCCCTCATGCCTGGCATGATGTTAACAGATTTTAACATGCTTAATTTTGAGCACTCTGCTAGGTTGATAAATTGATAAGAGGATAAGGAATAAAATAAGGTTTTTAAAAGTGATTGGGAATGTAGGTGGGCTGTGTCTTTTTTTAAGGAAACTGCTCCCTGAGGAAGTTCTTGGGCCAGCAGACCTCTGCTGTGCTGGGGTTGCTGAGGAGGGCTGGAGTTTGGCCTCGCCTGCCTGTGGGCTACCTCTGGGGTAGGAATCTAGGAATGTAGCTTCCTGTATGGGGAGCTCTAGGGCTGCGGATTCTTAGCCATTGATTTAGGCGAGCAAATGTCATCACATTGTCGTTTCTTTGTTTCCTCATTGTGAACATAAAAATGGTAATATATCACCATATACACTTATATTTGTAAAAGTGTTACAGACTGCTCAGTGGTTGGTCAACAACTTGTCCTGTCTTCTATATGTGAATCAAAATCCCAAACCTCTGTTGTTGCAGGTTTAAGGAGTTCTTGAGTAAACATGTTCACTTAATGTGTTACCGGATCTGTGTGCGAGCCCTGACTGCCATCATTACCTACCATGACAGGTGAGAGAGTTCGGCATTGATGGAGAGTAAGGCGGGGTAGCCAGAGTACCACCCACATGCTTGGTCCAATGGAAGGGGGCTGCAGGACTTAGCTCTTGAAGATTGTGTGCTCAGAGATATGTTCCAAGTGAATAAAGGTTTCACACTAATTTTTGTTGCTTACATACATTTTACACCTAGGAAAAACAGACCAAGAAATGGAGGCCTCTGTGTGGCTAACCATACATCTCCTATTGATGTTATCATTTTAGCCAGTGACGGTTATTATGCCATGGTGAGTGTCTGTTTTCTTGAGGTAGAATTTCATATGTTAGGCTGGGAGGCTTCTGGACCTTTCCTGAGACACCAAGGTTCTAAACCTGTGGAGATGCTTTCACGTGTGTGCCAGGATACATGGGGAGCACCTTGGGACGGGGCTAGGAGACGTTCTGTGCGGACTGAGAGCAGAGCGAGGCAAGGGATGGCGCTCAGGCCTCCTGTGGACTGGAGGTGCAGGGAGGAGAGGACTTGGGCCTGTGAGATTGCTTGGGGGCATTGACTCAAGGGATCACTCAACTTTATTATTTTGTTTTAGGGTTTTCAGTTGTCTTTATCTGGCTCATCGCTATTAAAAGAGAAAATTGGGGTTTGGGGAGTCTTAATTGTGGGAAATCTAGAGTTAAGTCATTTGAGAGCAAGGCATCGGTATGTATTTTGTGGGAGATGGCCTCACTACTAATTTTTGTTTTGTCTGAGAATAGGTGGGTCAAGTGCATGGAGGACTCATGGGTGTGATTCAGAGAGCCATGGTGAAGGCCTGCCCCCATGTTTGGTTTGAGCGGTCCGAAGTGAAAGACCGCCACCTGGTGGCTAAGAGGTAAACAGACGAGGTGCTACTCTGTCCATTTCCAATATAAGCAGAAAACGTAGTTGAAGCATCGTCAGAGTTAGAATGTTTTCTATGCTAAGCCCGTACTATTCTTGTAACACATTTCCCCCTGAAACATGGAATATAAAATAGAAACCTGAATATTGTTTGCATACTTAGTATTGTACCCATTCCAGCAAATATGAGCTTCCATTACTATTAGAAATCTCAAAATGAATTCATTATCACAAACAAAACAAATATAAGGTAGCAGAACAAAGTGCTGCACTGTTCTCATTTCCAGTGTGAACCGTGCGAGGACCTTTGTAGTCAACAGAAAGGTGTCAGGCTTTTATACGGACCAGGGAACCCCTGTCAAATTCCCTCTGTGTCAGGGACAGAGGTTTGAACTTGGCGGGGAGGGGCTGGAGGTCTGTCCCTCTTGTGTTCTGTAACTATAACGATATCTGAAACTGGGTAATTTATAAACAAAAGCTGTTTGGGTTCACAGTTCTGAAGGGTAGGAAGCCTAACATTGGGCAGTCACATCTGGCAAGGCCCTGGGCTTTGTTGTTAGCAGAAAAGCAGAAGAGAGAGAATGTAGCCAGGCATGGTAATGCACACCTGTTTTGCCAGTTACTTGGGAAGCTGAGAAAGGAGGATCACAAGTTTGAACCTAGACTGGTCTCCTTAGAAGACCCTGTCTCATAAAAAGAGCTGGGGTGATAGCTCAGTAGTAGAATGCTTGCCTTCCATGCATGAAGCCCTTGCTTAATAACAACTCATTCCTGAGATAACTGATCCATTTCCATTGGAACGACTTCAGTCTCTCTTAATGACCCAATCACCACTTCAAGACTCTATCCCCCAGTACCAATAATGACTATTCAATTTCACCATGAGTTTCTGAGAGGACAAGGTCCAGCTCACAAAGGTTTGTTAAGGGTGCTGTGTGTGAGGTCTGATGGCAGCTGCTTCCTTTGTATAGTACCACGTCTGAGCAGTGTCCTCCATGTACAGACTAACACGTTCTCGATGGTGCTGTCATTTCTGTGTCTCACAGCCCTTCCGGTGGCTCTGATTTGATCATGTTACGTTTCTGCCAGCTTGAACCACTAGTTTTATGTGAATGACTGTCCCATTGGGTGGCATAAGTTGCCCAATCTGACAGTCGCACGTGTCCCACCTGTGGTTCAAGCCATTGGGAACATGCTAATACTGAATTGAATCATTACATGAATTAAATAGTGGCCATCTATGAATTTTTTCTTTATGAGCTTTAGACTGCATTTCTAAAGGACACAGGTTTGTTAACTTGCTTTTATTTTTCTAAACAAGTATCACACATGCATGAGATTATATAATCCTCCCTTGTATTTTTTTCTTTTGAAGACTGACTGAACACGTGCAGGATAAAAGCAAGTTGCCTATCCTCATCTTTCCAGAAGGTAAGAGCCTTTTGTGAGTCCAGTCCCTCAGCCTTTGCTGGGATTCTCTTTGTCCCCTGAGTGTAGAACTAGTAACTCGGGAGGTTAGGAACCTGGACGAAGAGTTCATAGTGAGAGCTTCAGCAGGGTGCCTCCTGTTGCTGTGCTGATAACAGGCCTCTCAGCTTTCTGCAAGGCTCTCCCCAGTCCTGTTCAGTCCAGCAAGGGTCCCTGGCCCTCACCTCGATCAGTGTGTGTCATTCAGGGAAAGTGGCCTGGAAAAGGAAAAGTGGCAGTTGGACAGCATTTTGCCAACTCTCAAGTGTTATTTGTAAGTTAGGGTGGTGACTCCTGTTTGAAGAGCCATTCAGAGTTTTTATTATTTCATGTTGAAGAGTTTCCTACTATCTGGGGTAGAGGATCAGGAAGAAATAGCATTTTGGTCTCTCCTGTATTTTAGGTACCTGCATCAACAACACGTCAGTGATGATGTTTAAAAAGGGAAGTTTTGAAATTGGAGCCACGGTTTACCCAGTTGCTATCAAGGTACGCGGCTCTGAGGATGCTCACTGTCACTGTTGTCATGTCACGGCTGAGGAGAAAGGGGTGCAGCAGGGAGTGGTGCAGGGGCTGCTTCACTACAGAGTGCCAGGTCTGGGTGGAGAGTGCAATGGCTGCAGCCCTCTGAGAGACCCGGGCCGGATTTAGAGGAGGAATAGCTAGGTGCCCACCTGCTATCAGATTTGGGAAGTTGTGCACCCCTCCTGAGTTCTGCCTTTGTTCCCTCATTCCCTGTTCAGATGTGCTGCCAGTGGGTTCATTGGAGAGGAGAGGGCAGGGCAGGGCAGGGCAGTGAGCCTTGATGGGTCCTCTCATGGTGCAACGGGGCAGACGGCCCCACTGCCGTGGGTGTGGAGTCACTTTCCATAGCAGCAGCCCATAGTATGGACAGGGCCCTCTGAACTGCTCTCATCTGTCCTCATCCTTCAGGACCTTGGTCTCTTCCTCCTCCAGCTACCTGGAGAGCAGTCAGCTGCACTGCTTCCCTCCTCCCTCTTGGCCCTTCACATCCATCTGGTTTCATTGTGGATTTGTAATTTCTAAAAGATCTGAGGCCTTGCACTCTTGCTCCTTCAAGCCATAGACTTGGCTTTGAGTTAGAGTGCCTGTGCCCAGGTGACGGGTAGGGCAGGGCACACAGTGGGCACCCTTAGAGTGTCCTCTCCTTGCCTTCACAAGAGCCTGCTTGCTGTGTGCAGAGCACCTGTGGAGATGTCCACTGCGTGGTCACCTTCCTGTGCAGTTTGGGGATGTTTTCTCCTGTTAGGCTGCTTTCCTTCCATTAGCAGGCTGACAGGCCACTGGATAAGGGCTGCCCCAGCTGTAGAGAAAGTGTGTCTGGGCAGAGGGGACACTGGCAGGGGTGTGGGGCTGTGTTTGTGGGGAGTGGCATGTGCATCCTACAAATGCCATCCTGCCATTTTTTTTTTTTTTTGGTACCAGGGATCGAACTTGGGTCCTTGAGTTTGTGAGGCAGGTGGCAGGTGGCAGAACCACTGAGCTAAATCCCCGGCCTCCCATCTTGCCTTCTTGTACGGTGGAGGTCAGGTGTTTCACCGAAGGCGGTAGTCACCTTGTTGCTGGGATGAAATACATGATGCACACAGAGGAGGGGAGATTTATCTTGGCTCACAGTCCGTGGCTGGCTGACTGGAATGCAGAAACATGATGGTCGAAGGCCGTTCGCCTGGTGGAAGCCAGGAAGCAGAGTGAGACCAAGAGCCAGAGAGGAAGGGCCGCGGACAAGAATACCCGCTCCAGGTCACACTCACCGTGGCTCTGCCCCCAGCAAGGCCGGCCTCATCAGAGCACACTCACCTCCCACGCACTTCCCTTCTCAAAGGCCCCTCTGCACCTGTGAGCCTTGGGCCAGATGGTAACTCTGCACAGGGGTGCTGAGCTGCGAGAGGGCAGCCCTCTGTGCCTGCACCACCTTGCCAGTGTCCCCATTTCCATTGTAGCTGGTTAGGGCAGTCCCTGCTGTGAGTGTAATTCCTACGTGCTGTTGGAACAGGGACCCTGCAGGGGGCTCCCCTCCAAAGTAAAAGGCCTTATAAAATTCACATCGGTTTTCATTCAGATAGAGCTTATGCCTTACAGGTGTTTTTCTAGTTTGGGGAAGCCTTCATTGGTAATTGGACTTGGATAGCTTTAGTAACAGCAAGGCTTCTAGTAAATTTTCATCAATTTTAAGTCACTGTCAGATTTTTGAGAAGCGTATTGTTATTTTGAGCCTTTGCCTTGTTTTTATGTATAGTGTCTGGTCTGTGTAAAAGACGGTATTAACCCTAAACAAAGGACCCTCACAGCACCAAAATTTCTATTCATATCATGATTTATAAAATATAACACCACTGTCTTTTTATTTTATTGAGAAAGAATCTTGCCATGTTGTCCAAGGTAGCCTCTGGGCACGCATCTCTTTGTAATTGTTCAATTGGCTTAGTTTAAACGCTTTTCTTTTCTTTTTTTTTTTTTTTTT